GGCTGCCTTTTCCCCTCTCCGCTTGCGGGCCCAGAGCAGCACCATCCTGCTGTGGGCGCGGCAAGTGCCCGGGAGGTCTTCCCTCCACTTCACGAGCTCCTGCCGTGGGTTGTCAGAAGTGAACAGAAATAAAACTCTGTTAGACGCGTTACGGAATGTATTTTAATTCCGCCACTGCATCCTAAGGAGACAGATTTAATAATAATTAGCGGCCCAATCCTGGAGTGAGAGAGAGAGAAGAAGAAAGGGGAAGGGAGGGCTGGGAAGGCCGGTGGTGGGGGTGGGGGGCAGCAAGTGGGCGTGGCCGGTGGCGGAGTCCACGCTGGGGCAGATCTGCCGGGAGGCCTGGGTGTGCGGCGCGGCGCCAGCATGGGCTGTGAGCCGGTGAGAGGGCAGGAATGGACGAGAGAGAGATGCTCACAGGTGGGGTGTTGTGGGCGGGCCCTGGAAACACCTGCTCAGAGGACGAGGTCGAGAACAAAGGCAGATGGTCCCCAATGGTGAGCAGGCTCAGAGCGATGAAGGCAGAGGCTGGTTTCGGAACGAAACTGCCTACGGGCCCTACAAGGACCCAAATGGCAGCAGCGGGAGATAAGATGACCATAGCTTGTAGGAACTTTTAGAAGCAGGCAGAGACACTGGGCTGAAACCTCCTGGGACCAGACGAAGGGTCAGACCAGGGGAGAAGAAGGTCCTTAACTAGGAATTGCTACTCATTAAGGTAACTCTTTTCCGAGGGTGAGGTTTAAATAAAGTAACCCAAATTTAAGTTTAAGGGGTGAACGGAATGTGTATGTGTGTGGGGGGGGCGGGGGAAGCGCTAGGGAGTTTGGAAAAGAAAAAAAAAAGGTAGAACGCTTTACTCACTTCATTTAAAAAAATGAGACATTATTAACCAATAAAATAAAAAAAATGTATTTCGAACACATAGAGGCCATAACAGAGACACACAGACATGTGGAGACACCTGTCAGCTGGTCACTCCTGCAGGGCTCCCAATAAGCCACACTCCTCTGTTCGGACCTGCCCTGGGTGCCCTTTAAACAAAGGGTTTGTCCCCTTCTGGCACACAGCTAGGTTTCTATTGTACAAGAACTGAAGTGCTCTCTGGTCCCTGAAACTGCTCACATCCTAAAATTGTCTCTAGCAGCCTAAATGGCATTGAAAATAAATACTGTGAATTGATGAAATGGCCAATTATGTTAAGTACCCATGCCTGGTGTAATCCAAACCAAATCTTCCCCCATTATCCTCAAAACTGCTAGATGATTCAGCAAGCCCTCTCGCCGGTGACTGCAAGAACCGAATACAGAGTCCACACTCCAGTAGGACCTTGGGTGCTTCCTTCCAGTGAATTCTCACAACTGGTTTTGTGCTGGGGGAAAAAACCCCACAACTACTATGTTTCTGCCAGACAGTGAATAAACCAAACAACTAGGAGACGTGGGTTCCCCACTGTAACCATGACGTCATGTTCTGTGGATTTCAGGATCTGACTTCTACCACATCCCCTCTGGACAGCCTGGCGCTCTGAGGCCGATCCTGCCAAGAATACGGGATGTCATCATCCCAAAGTGCCCGTGAGTCACTCACTGTCTGCACCTGCCACATAACGTCCCGTGGCCATGCCCTCTCTTGCCTACAGAGTCTTGCTTCCCCTTCTTGCGGTGCCTTTTGCTCTGTTTCCACACAGCCACCGTCTATTTTATAAGGTCTTGTTCAAGGTGTTAGCTCTCCCAAGACCGGGCAAGCCCCTACTCTCCTACCCTCCTGACAAAAATAAGCCTCCCTCCTCCGAATGATGTGACACGTCTGCTTCTTCTGCCATGCCCACGTTCCCTTAGCCTCAACTCCAAGGGCCACTGACCCCCAGGGAGCCCGGGGCAGACAGTTCTGCTGGGGGGAGGGGGGTGGGAATGATCAGCTGGGCCCTGTTGCCTGGTCTTTATGGCACCTTCTACCCCAGTTCTAGGAACTGGGTTCTTGAGGGCATCCTGTTTGCCTTCAGTCCCAATCTCTGTGGTTGGAACCCCGTTAAGACTTCTTTCCTAGGCTAATTATCTAGGGGGGAAAAAAGTTCTCCTGGTTGCTACAGGGGGAACAGAAGGAATGTGTGCATATTTTGAAAACGTAAAGTATAAAGGTGACAAGGTGAGTATATAAATCAGGTATGTTTTCTTCTGTATTGGTTTTTTTTTTTTTTAATTTTTAAAAGTTTATTTATTTTTGAGAGAGAGAGACACAGAATGTAAGTGGGGGAGGGGAAGAGAGAGAGAGAGAGAGAGAGACAGACAGACAGACAGACAGACAGAATCCGAAGCAGGCTCCAGGCTCTGAGCTGTCAGCAGAGAGCCCGATGCGGGGCTCGAACTCATGAACTGTGAGATCATGACCTGAGCTGAAGTCGGATCCTTAACTGACTGAGCCACCCAGGCGTCCCTTGTACTTGATTCTAAACTGACCCTTCCGCTGGCATGACTGTTTATATACCTGTACTTTATTGTAAAATGTTCACTCCTGGACATGAGCAACTTCTTGATGAACCAGTACCCCACCAAAGGAACACAAAACTATTAATTAGGGAAAACACACACATAGTTTGAAAAATCTTAGCACAATAAAGGTGTCTCCAGAACTCCATATACAGATAGAGCAAATACAATACACAGCAAAGAAGAGTTGTAGGAAAAACGTGAATCCTTTCCTACCCTCTCAAACTCCAACTAAGAGTCTTCCGATTTTCACATGTACAAAAAATAAATAAATAATGAAAAGAAAGGCTGCACTGAATTGGATGCAGATTGAATAAGCATCTGAAATCTGTAATAATGTAATTCTCAACGCTTAGAATAATTAGAATTTTAAACCCTCTCCAGAAGAGAAAAAATGTCCACACCCATGAGATAGAATCTCACGGTGAAATCACTCAACTTCAGAACCTTATTGATGTTTTGCTTCATGCTTTTGCCCAGCAGTAACAACCAAAAACTAATATCCTCCAAGCAAATCTTACTTAACGTGAAACTTAATGAGTAAAAATCCTACAAGAAAATGTGCTTGCTAAATAAAATCCCTCTTCTGAAAATAATCCAAACACGAATGATACGAATATCATTGTTACAGACCTGACAGAAAAATAAACATTCACATAACTCTGAAAAATTCCCAAAGGCTCATCATAACTGGTTTCCATTTATGCTATGTGAAGGGAGAACAGATATTTTTTTTTTAAGTATGTATTAATCTTTGAGAGTGGAGGGAGTTCCCTTTTGTCTTAAATATTAAGGGGATCTATAATGGTCATTAAAATTAGGATTAGTCAAAACTTCCTGCCTAAATTTCGCCTGTACCACGCAGAAAGGCAAGGAAATCCTTTGGTTCCTGGTTTCACAGGCTATTAAAAAGACGGTATGCAATTGCATGGCCTATAAAACAATAACACAAACGTGATGGCATCTCTTTGAGCTACTCTGGAAACCTGAAGATAAATGTCCCTTTTCATAGCCACAATTATATTCCACTCCTTCACACACCTGGCCAGTGTTCAGCATGCACTTTTCAAGAAAAGATACTAACCAGTTCTAAACCAACCGAAAGGTGCTCCGAAAGAACACCGTACTACAAGCCCAGCCCAGTTCTAAAGCTCTTCGTACAACCAGAACCATCTGCTTTTGGCCAGCTGTGCCATCTGACACTTAGCCGGCCCGCGGAGGCTGATGGGGACAAGAAACTGAAAGGGCCTCGGAGGCCCACCGATTCCAGCTTCTCTGCACAGCAGACATTCCCAACAGGGATAACCTGCAGCATCCTGAAGGCATCTTATGGCTACTTTTCATTCTTTTTTTTTTTTTAATGTTATTTCTTTTTGAGAGAGAGAGACAGAGCACAAGCGGGGGAGGGGCAGAGAGAAAGGGAGACCAGAATCCGAAGCAGGCTCCAGGCTCCGCGCCGTCAGCACAGAGTCTGACGCGGGGCTCGAACTCAGGAACCGCGAGATCACGACCTGAGCCGAAGTTGGATGCTTCACAGACTGAGCCACCCAGGCGCCCCTCTTATGGCTATTTTATTTTTTTTAAAAAAAATTTTTTTTTTTAATGTTTTATTTATTTCTAGGAGAGAGAGAGAGAGAGAGAGACAGCGTGAGCAGGGGAGGGTCAGAGAGAGAGGGAGTCACAGACTGAAACAGGCTTCAGGCTCTGAGCTGGCAGTCAGCACAGAGCCCGACGCGGGGCCCGAACCCACGAACTGTGAGATCATGACCTAAGCAAAAGTCGGACGCTCAACCGACTAAGCCACCCAGGCGCCCCTCTTATGGCTATTTTAAACCAGTTATTCTTCAACTTGATTTGGCCATTTCAAAAGAAACTTAATAGCCACAGCAGGGACGAAAGGCAGCTGGAATTCCTTGAGCACGCAGGGGAGGACGGACAGCAAAGCGGCGAAGGGTGAGCTGGACGACAGGAAGGATGTCCCGCTGCAAAGGATGCTCGTCGGGACGGGAGAGGGGTGGCTGAACTCTGAGACTCGGAACAAACCACAGGCAGCCTTCCAGGCACATGCGGATGTTAGGGGACGGCGAGGAACAAGTGGAACCACCACAATAGCCAGAGTGCTGGAACCCCCCAAACAGTCCTCATTCGCCCGAGCACTGAAAATATGTAACAGCGTTTTTGTTTTGTTTTGTTTTGAACCAGCTCCATTTATGCCAGCCATACCCTGACTGCCACGTAATTCCAGTCTCACCAAAGCAAGCCGGACGCTTCTGGAATATGACCAGCGGTGACCAAACGAAGAACCAGGCCCGGATTCGGAATAACAATTCACAGCAACCAGGAGACGTGAGTAGGAAGAAATAAGGAGAAATGGACAAAGAGCCCCAGCGCACAGCAGCCACACTTTTTCAGACGGTGCCCGCTCCTTAGGAGGACAGAGCTCCCGCCTGCTACCCAGCACGAGGGCACAGAGCGAGGGGGTGGGGAGGGCCGCTCCTGGACACCTACCTTGCAGAAGGGCTCCATTTCTCTTGAAGAAGGTACTGCCCGGCCAGATAGGTGGACCTGATGTGCTGAAACACAAGAGAAGCCAGGGTGAGCATGGGCTCATTTGCACTCGCCCCCGTGCCCGTGGAAAAACCACCTCTCCAAACGTATCGCTTAGAAGAGACCTCAACATGCTTCCCAAAGATGCATTATTTACACCCTCTGGAAATGCATTTTGATTTTTTTTTTTAACATTCATTCATTGCTATGTTTTGTTTTCTTTTTTAAGAGACAGAGCATGAGCTGGGATTGGGGGAGAGAGAGAGAGAAGAGTGAGACACAGAATCTGAAGCCGGCTCCAGGCTCTGAGCTGTCAGCACAGAGCGCAATGTGGGGCTCAAACCCACGAACTGTGAGATCATGACCTGAGCTGAAGTCGGACGCTTAACCGACTGAGCCACCCAGGCGCCCCATGGAAATGCACATTTAAAAACCGTGAAGTATGGGGCACCCAGGTGGCTGGTTCTATAGAGCATCCAACTTTGGCTCAGGTCATGATCTCGCAGTCCATAAGTTCGAGCCCCGCATTGGGCTCACTGTTGGCAGCCTGTCAGTGCAGAGCCTGCTTCCTCCTGCCCCCCTCTCCCGGCCACTCCCCCGCTTGCACTCTCCCACAAAATGAACAGACATTTTAAAAAATAAAATAAATAAAAAATAAACAAAAACCGTGAGGTTTTATGCTGAATGGGCTTCGCATTTCACGGAGCAGAACCTGTCTGCATGGGTGTTCTGGCTACGGCCCTGGCGCCTCCCTTCTGGGCACTGAAATCACTTTCGAGTAAATGAATGGCAAATTCACACAGTTCAACCTCACGATTTGTAACTTCAGAATGGTTGCGAATTTATTCCTAACTTTATAAATTTACATGGCAGGGAACTTCTATCCATGTCTTCTGGGACCACGTGGGTTTTCCGTCACTTCCTAGTGACACCTGCCAATGAGTAATGCAAACCTGCCTTTGTTGGCCTTTATTCTCACCAAATCCTTAACATGACATAAAGAGCTTTGATGGACTCCCTCCCTCCCCCAGCACCTTGTTTTGTATCCTGTTTTCAATTTCCTGGCTTACAATGTTGCCCTCCGTACCCTATAAAACATTTTGTAGACATGCTACCGCCCACAGCTGGGTCAGAGGAGAGGCAAGAAAATAAGAAAGATCAGTATAAATAAAGACACTTTACTACATTTATAGATGAGGATTTTCATGGTTTTAAGATACCCAGTGAAAAACTTTATAACCAAGCCAACCTTAGTAAAATATCCTTAGAGGGGGAAGTAGGTTACTCTAAATCAAGGATCAGTTTCGATTAATGTTAGAAAGCACTTAGTCAAAAATGTTACTACATCCAACCCAGGAGGCAGTACAAATTACCTTCGCTACAATAGTCTATGGCAAAGGATACTGGCTAATGCACTGTCTATCACGGCACAAAAAGGAAAAAAGTTGGTCTGGTAACAGATTTTTAAGTTCGGCGGACACGTGCACACATCGTAAGAAATCTGAAGGGCTATGTAACAAACACTTTACCAATCAGCCAGGTCAACGGTAGTAGTGCAGGATGGCAATCAATACTGTCAACAGGAGTGACACATTCTGATGACCAAAATTTCATTACCAGAGACGTAACAGCACAGCAGGTATAGGGACACGTTACATGACTGGTGAGGGGCAGAAAAAGGCTGGAGCACACACAAACACTGTTAAACACCAAACTAGTGTCAAATGTGCTGGACAACACACACTTAGGAACCGTGATGTAAATGAACCTTCTTGTTTTGTTTGGTTCGGGGTTGACTATACTCAGAGTAAGCAAGATTAATGCATCAAAGCTACAACATTTCCAGCAGCGCTCCAGGCTCTGGCAGCTGTGGCCTCTGGGTGGCCAAGGCTGACGCAGAGGACACCAGGCCTGGCTGGGGTCTCGGGGCTGTGGGATGGCAGCAAGCTGATTTCTCTTCCATCTGATTCCTGTCCTATTCCGTGGAGGCTTTTAAAGCTCAAAGATGCATGACAAATAATGTGCATTAAAATGCTCAAGATTATCTTCTAACAAGTCCGGCCAGCTCCCTGGAATTTTACCATCTTATTTTTATAAGAAAGCAGGAAACCGCAAGTTGGCTGTTGCCAATCCTGAATCACCTGATTTCTAAAGATATTTAAAAACTGAGGACTTCATTATAGAGGAATTGGTGCTTTGAGAGCATTCAGTAATTGAGTATTACTGCAGGAGCCTGAGCATCCAGCTTACTTCCACCCAAATCTCCTCTTTATCCTGACCCCGATTAGGCTGAAAACTCAGCAGACGCCAGGAACGGAGTAAATGTGGGGAACCGAGGTCGCGTAAATCCAGCAGTTTAAGATAAGGAAAATTCTCTGTGTGATAGAAATCTACTCAGCAATTCCTACGACATCCTTTTAACGTAGCTAAGTCACTGATCACTATTCTAGTAGTTTTGCTCCACTGCCCACATAATCACTGCTCCAGTCATGGAGAGAGATTTGGATTGGCCCACCCCCCTGTTCTTACCTGGCTCCCCCTGTCTGTGATGAATTCACCTATGGTCTCTTTCTAGCTCAAGTGAAGCTGGTTGCTGTCTTGTTAATTGCATTGCATTGGAGCTTCCTGGCCAAATAGTCTACATGCTTCTTGTGGATGGTTCCTCAAAATGGCTATTTCTAACTACTAAGGGACTCAAGGATCGATTAAGTGACTGTCCTTGGTGTTGAGAACACAGGGAAAAAATTAAAGGCCATATTTAATGGCTTCTAGGAACTTACCTAGCCCCAACCTCCTGTGACCGTGTCTAAAGAGACATCAACGCCTACAGAAAAGGCCAATGGGTATGGCCCTGATGGCTACAAGTTGGGGAGGCAGCAAAATGATATTTATTTCCTGCATCTGGTGATGTTCCCAGCTCACTGGCCTTTAAAGTTCAAAGTTGGTTTTCAAAAACTATATAAATTTACCTAAAAGTGTTTATTAACCACAGGAATTTAGAGAAGAAGCTAGTGATCGACGTCTTCACATAGGAGTTGCTGATGCGACCCTGGAAACCACTCATTCATGTGGCAGATCAAGGGGAGGGGAGTGTGGGTGTGATGTGTGCAGGGGAGGATGGGGGCTCTCTACACTTAGTCACCTAAATGTTGGTGACTTGCAAATGGCCTATGGCCATGGGAAGTGGCCTCTAGGGCCCCCTTAAACCTACTGGAGTGGATTTTAATCACCTCACAATGGGGCTCACAGGGTATGAAGCTGGGATAGCAAATTGCCAGTGAGAAACTACAGCAATCAACACCTTTTCAATAGGACCCTCCATGCTGTAGGTGCGCAGGGCAGAAGGAGGAGCTGTGGAGCCGAAGGCCCTAAGAGGTGACTTGAACCAGCATCACAAGGCTGGTTAGTTATCAGCTCAAGAGCAGACCAGGGCTTCCAGAACCAGCCCACTGTACCAAAACATACACACCAGTGGCCCCCACGTCATGCCTCATCTTCCCGCCTTCCTCTTCCAGTCTGCTGGCACTAAACTCTTGTTTCTCCTTCTCCATGGAAGAAGGCTGTGGGTGGTATTTCACTAAGAATCTCAAGGCAAATGGCTAAAATTAACAACAGACAGGAAACGACAGGTGTTGGTGAGGATACAGAAAAAGGGGAATCCTTGTGCATGGCTGGTGGGAATGCAAACTGGTGCAGCCACTCTGGAAAACAGTATGGAGGGTCCTCAAAAAGTTAAAAATAGAACCACCCTGCGACCCAGCAATTGCATCACTAGGTATTTACCCAAAGGATACAGAAATACTGATTCGAAGGGACACACGCACCCTGATGTTTAAAGCAGCATTATCTACAACAACCAAATTATGGAAGGTGCCCAAATGTCCAACCACTGATGAATGGATAAAGAAGACATGGTATATATGTACACAATGGAGTGTTACTCAGCCATCAAAAAGAATGAAATCTTGCCATTTGCGATGATGTGGATGGAGCTACAGTCTACTATGCTAAGTGCAATTAAGTCAGGGAAGTCAAATACCATATGATTTCACTCATATGTGGAAATTTAGGAAACAAAACAGACGAACAAAGGGGAAGTTAAAGAAATAAGATAAAAACAGAGAGAGCGGTAAACCATAAAAGACTTTAAACTACAGAGAACACATTGAGGGTTGATGGAGGTGGGTGAGAGATGGGCTAGATGGGTGATGTGTATTAAGGAAGGGCACTTGTGATGGGCACTGGGTGTTATATGTAAGTGATGAATCACTGGATTCTACCCTGAAACTAATATTACACTATATGTTAACTGGAATTCAAATAAAAGTTTGAAACGAACATACAAACAAGAAGAATCTCAAGGTAAAATCCCAGGCTAGAAAAAGCAACCAGCCTCACCATATGTGAAAGACAGACACGTGGGCTCATAATTAGCAGACACCACACAACGCGGGTTCCACAAATGTCTCACTTCAATAGCACTCTAACAAAATTCCATGACCTTCAGCACTATACGCCAAACCCACATGTGACAGAGGAAGCTGACCAACAGGTTAAGAGGGCCTTGTCTGCCAGAAAGGCAGCTTGTGACCTGGCATTTGAGCACATTGATCCTTTGAGCACATTGATCCAGACGATCATTAAGACCAGAGCTGAGCCAGCAAAAATCCCACGGGAGGAACGATACCATCTTGAACAGCATACCGAGCGTCTGCTGAGTCTTAGCCCTCAGTCACTTCCTGGGCTGTACACTCCAAGCTGCGTTCCTTTGAACTCCCCAGAGGACACTGTGGGTTAACAGGCTGTACAGCCCTAAGCTGGCTCCTGGCGTGATGGGATCTGGCGTGGGTGTTCCCTCTGCTCATGAACTTCCATCACCATGAGATGGAAGACACCATGAGAACCAGACAATCAAGACCCTGGGAGGGTCCGCCAAGACCATACACTGATCTGGACTTCCTGTGAGTCCAATGAAAAGCAAATGAAGAAACGTACTTTTTTCTAAGAACTCAGCCACCAAATATGA